ACCATGCTTAAGACAATGGTTTTGGAGGATGAATCATTTGTATTGTGGTTTAAGAATCTATCAAAAGTTAGTGTAAGCTATCGAATCTGTAGTAAGGTGAAACAAATGTTGTTATTGGTCGGGGTCAATATGCATGAGGTGAGGTGACTTGTCATTTACGTCCCGTCTTTCCAAAGGACACTTGCCTCCGGCTTACCATTGAATAAATAATAGATTTTAATAAATATTGGGATTCATAATAAAATTAATAATTATAATTATTAAATTTAATTTTTAAATTTATTTTTTAAATTCATGTAACATTATTTTATCATGATTGCTGGCACAAATATTAACAAAATAGTTCGACATTGTCCTTCTTCACTCGCACAATATTAATGAATCAAGTTTTTTTTTCTCGATTTTACAAAATGTACGAGAAACATTGACCCCTTTTACTATGGAGGTCACATAATCTATATATCCCTTAGTCATTCTGATAAATTGAGATAATGAACATCAACCAAGCTTTTGCTCGCTCAACGAATTCATGAGAAAATCGATATGTACTGAAACGCCGAATCACAACATAGGAATTCGGCGAGTGACTTACAGGTTTGCGTTTGGGTTTGGACTTGGGCTCGGGTCGGTCAATTTTAGTGGCCGAGCTAAGAATATGTTTTAAGGTTAGCACACTTAAATGTAAGTTTTACTTCATACTTTAATAGGTAAAAATGATATTATACATTTATATTTTTGATATATCATATGTAATACTTAATGATTCGAAGGCCAAAATTTAGTATACATATTCTATGCAAATAAAAAATAACTAAATAGATGTTAAATATAATTTTTTACAACAAAAATGAGGTTAATTATAGTCATTTATAATTGACTCCGACGAATTATTATATTTTAAAAACATTTCATGACTACCTCATTATTCTTGTGATCGAAAATGACAATTGAGTGGGTGCAGTGTATTTTTACTCAACTTTTTCTTTTTCTTTATTATAAATTATGTGGNAACATACTTATGGTTATAAATTGGAATTTTACCTCTCTCTCTCTCTCTGTGTATATATATAATAATATATGTATGATGTTTATATTGTTGTTGATATTCACACCTACCCATAACTACCTGTGAAAACGAGTTTCCAAGAAAACAACAGCAACAAGAGAGTGAAGGGGGTGAAAGGCAAATTAGCAAATAGACAAGTTTGACTGGTAATCTTGAGCTTTCTGCAATCAATTTTTTGTATCCCGTTATTCTTAACGACTTTCCACATGCTTTTTCTTTTTTCTCAAAGCTTAAAAGTCAGTAACAAACTCACCAACTTCTTACTATATTTTCTTTCTTGTTCAACAATCTAATCCTAACTCAACCATCGTTTTCTCTAATGTATATGCTTCAATTCAAAGAGACTTAACCGTTGTCGTTACTGTTAATTACTATTCTATTGTGGGTTGGAGATTTTGTCTCTTTGTTGTGGCCAACCATGCTTAAGACAATGGTTTTGGAGGATGAATCATTTGTATTGTGGTTTAAGAATCTATCAAAAGTTAGTGTAAGCTATCGAATCTGTAGTAAGGTGAAACAAATGTTGTTATTGGTCGGGGTCAATATGCATGAGGTGAGGTGACTTGTCATTTACGTCCCGTCTTTCCAAAGGACACTTGCCTCCGGCTTACCATTGAATAAATAATAGATTTTAATAAATATTGGGATTCATAATAAAATTAATAATTATAATTATTAAATTTAATTTTTAAATTTATTTTTTAAATTCATGTAACATTATTTTATCATGATTGCTGGCACAAATATTAACAAAATAGTTCGACATTGTCCTTCTTCACTCGCACAATATTAATGAATCAAGTTTTTTTTTCTCGATTTTACAAAATGTACGAGAAACATTGACCCCTTTTACTATGGAGGTCACATAATCTATATATCCCTTAGTCATTCTGATAAATTGAGATAATGAACATCAACCAAGCTTTTGCTCGCTCAACGAATTCATGAGAAAATCGATATGTACTGAAACGCCGAATCACAACATAGGAATTCGGCGAGTGACTTACAGGTTTGCGTTTGGGTTTGGACTTGGGCTCGGGTCGGTCAATTTTAGTGGCCGAGCTAAGAATATGTTTTAAGGTTAGCACACTTAAATGTAAGTTTTACTTCATACTTTAATAGGTAAAAATGATATTATACATTTATATTTTTGATATATCATATGTAATACTTAATGATTCGAAGGCCAAAATTTAGTATACATATTCTATGCAAATAAAAAATAACTAAATAGATGTTAAATATAATTTTTTACAACAAAAATGAGGTTAATTATAGTCATTTATAATTGACTCCGACGAATTATTATATTTTAAAAACATTTCATGACTACCTCATTATTCTTGTGATCGAAAATGACAATTGAGTGGGTGCAGTGTATTTTTACTCAACTTTTTCTTTTTCTTTATTATAAATTATGTGGGGATAAATTTACACAAGAAGTAATCACCTCGGCCTCGTAAGAAAATAGAAGATGGCGAGAAAGCCTTGAATAACCTGCAAAACAAAAGCACACTTAAGTGAATACATGGCCAGAAATGGATAAATATTTTAACCACTCTCTTAACCACACCCCAATCTTTTAAAACCACACATCATCAAAATCTGAAAATGTGAGAAAAAAATTCCCACAAAAGACATGTGACCCTAGAGGGTTGAGTGTGGTACACTATCTATCATCAACCACTGAGAATTATGACTGTCTTTTGCAACCGTTATTACAAGTATTAGCTCTTGTCTTGAAGTGTAGACAAAGTGGCTCAGTAATCTCAACCTACTGGCATATTTAATTGCAAGCCGTGCTCATAATATTTGAATTATGAACTCCAAATTGTCAATAAAAAAACAAAAAACAAAAAGTGTAGACTTGTTAAGTGACAGCTTACCTAATGTAGAAATAATTAGCTTTACCTTGCTGGCACGTAATGAAAGAAGATTTTCTAGTCTGCATAAAAGGGAAGGGAAAATTATGCCTAATCCCCTTAAAATTTATGAATTAATCATTTAAACTCCTTGATATTTGAAATATTATACACAAATTCTTTAAGATTTGTACGCACGAAACACTTAGACTCCTACCGTCAATATTTGTCAGTATATTCATTAATAAATTACATCGATCTTATAAAATTTATAAACGTATAACACTTAAACCTATCACGTTTGAAATATTATACTTAAATCCCTTATTAGTTATGAAACTAACATAATTTATTAAATGAACATATTAATCTCAATTAAAGATATAAGATATTGTATTCATTACAGTTTGTTGACCTCATGTTTGGTTTTTTAGTTTGATTCTAATAGACAATATAATTATATGTAAATGAGCGTTGAATTGAGTTATTTGATATATTTATACTGATTATTATTTTTTTCTCAAAAAATTGAGATTTCGTTTGGGTTTTATGTCTATGGATTGTATAATGGAACATGCAAATAAGAAGATTAGTCTTATTTCATATGCTCCCACTTGATGATGAAAAAAAATTGACCCAAGGTGAAAAGTTCATTTAGTCCAAATACTCCAAGTATGTCACTCATAACTTCTAAATGCAGTTCATACTTTTAAGCTACTTATGGACTTGAGCATCGGAGAGTCGACTCCTTGAGCTCTCCTCCGGTTATTGACTTCTTTTTTTAGGTGATCAAAGTCCAATAAATTGACATGAAGGTCATCCAAATTTTGGTATCAACAGTACTAATTATTATTCTTTTAAAAAAATTGAATTTTTATTTTAAATTTTATTTCAATAAATGACATAATAGAACATAAATTTTAGTTATAAAATTTAAAATATTCGATATTCTATCTTTAATTGAAGTATTTTTTATTTAAGTGTAATATTTTAAATTTGAGAGGTCAAAGTATTACACGCTTCAAATTTCTGGAGTTTGAATATAATTTACTAACAAATATACTAACAGACATTAATGACAGAGACCTATGTATTACGCGAGTACAAATCTTAGATAATCTAAGCTTAAATTTTTCATGAGAAAATTGATATAGCTGGGCTTTTTCGTCAACATGGACCACAACAACTTAAGTTGTGCTGACCCACTCATTATTTAATGGACCACTTTTTGGAGGTGACTCATTGGAATTACTATGTGGACTTCAGAAAGATTGACCTTTGCATTCTGGAACAAGTGCTTGACTTCCCAATCACTCACCCAAAAAAAAAAAAAAAACAAAAGAGAGAGAGAGCAAATTATGGGTTAAAGTATTACATGTTAATCTAATGGTTTTAATGAAACTACATCATTAAGTCAATAAATTATGTCAAATTTTTAAGTACAAATAACATTATTCTGATAAAAATGAGGTTCAAAATATTGAATTCGATCTCAAAAAATATAACTTGTTTGATTGATTTCAAATCAACCCAATAGAATTTGTAATTCGAGAATCAACTGACTGAAAATGGGGATGTAATCGATCACAACTTATCTCTCCCCGATGTCTATATAGGAACTAAACCATTTTCCAAAACCAAGATCTCTTTCAGTGAGTTTGAAAAGGATGCTTCTGATGGGCATTGTGATTTCACTCTTGCGTACGAATTGCTTTACCAATTGCACCACCATGTGAAAGAGAAAAATGGGTTTGACTGGTTTGCTTGTAAGATTTAAAAAGATTGAGAAATGAGAAACTTCAACCCAAGAGAAGAGACTTGTGAAACAAGCATGAATATGACATTTGTTCACTTTGAATAGGCCAGTGGGTGCACCAACTCTTAATAGGGTTGAACTAAGTTTTGCCATGGTATCTGGTCCATAATGCTGAATCAAAACCTAATCCGCCAACCTCAGAACAACCTTCTCTCTCCTCTGCTTCTACTATAAAAGAAAACCCTCTCTGTCACTCTTTCACAAGTTAGCATTATTTCCACCTCTAACCATCGTTTTGCAAAAGGCTTAGGTGAAGATGAAGGCTTGTAACACCATTGCCAGCCCCTTGTGCTCCTTGTTGTTGCCCATTTTACTTGTGTTTGCTACTGCATTATCCTTGGCAAATGCAAAAACTTATTACCATGATTTTGTTGTAAGTCTCTCTCTCTCTCTCTCTCTCTCTCTCTCTCTCTCTCTCTCAACTCTTAGATACTAACATTTTTTTTTTTTATTGAAAAAGGTGCAAGCAACCCCAGTGAAGAGGCTGTGCAAAACCCACAACACCATTACAGTGAATGGGCAGTACCCAGGACCATCCTTGGAAGTGAATAACGGTGACAGCCTAGTGATCAACGTCGTCAACAGAGCTCGATATAACCTCACCATTCACTGGTAATAACCATCATCTATTTTAAAAACTTACGTTTATAGTGAGGGTGTAGTAAAAAAAATTAAAACTTCAAAAAGTCTTTACGTGCAAGCCGGATTTCGGGTAAAACAATGCAAGTCATATAATTACGAGGATAACAGCAAGATTCAAACGAATGACATCTGATACATCCTCCATTCTTAAATATCTATCATTTTAAACAATTTTTTTTTGCTCCATAATATCTGTCGTTTAATGAAACTAAAACATAATTAATAATTTTTTTTCTAAATTTACCCTTAACTTTTCAATACATTAAATTAGGTGAAGACTAAGTATTTTTTATATTCTTTTTCTTCTCAATATGTATTAAATAAGAGTATTTTAGTCTTGTGTAATTATTTTTTACTCATATTACAACTATCTAATAACTTCTTTAATCTCTGTGCATAAACTTTAAACGACAAATATTTAAAAACGGAGAAAATATAATATTAAATCATCAACTCATCATAAAACATGCTTGCATGATAATGTGAGCTCTTTTTCGATACTTGCTGTAACTTAAACCATCAGACTGGTAAAAGTAAATTAAGTGACTGCATCTACTGAACAGTATGCACGACCATTCGTTTTCCCATGCGCACATTATGCAATCTTTACATCCAGAGGAGTGGAATGCTATGCATGAGCATCCGAAATTTACTATATTTGTGGCTACTTTTACTATTGTTGCGGATATTTTTACCACTGTTGTGGTATCCAAAAAAAATGATAAAAATAATTAACACATCAATAGTAAAAACGCTCACAATACCGATAAAAAAACCCACAAAAGTAATAAATTTTTTTGTATTAAATAAAAATGGTAAAAATAATTACCACGACAGTGCTAAAAACATTCACAACAGTGGTAAAAATTTACCACAAAAGTTGGTAAATTTTTTAGTTGTAAAATAACTCACAAAAATTATGAAAACACCATTTAAAGTAATAAATTTTCTAATTTTCACCATTATACTTCTCCAGGCACGGCATCCGACAAATCAGAACGGCATGGTCTGACGGACCAGAATTCATCACTCAGTGCCCTATCAGACCAGGAGGGAGTTACACCTATCGATTCACCATTCAGGGACAGGAAGGCACACTTTGGTGGCATGCCCATAGTTCATGGCTCAGAGCCACTGTCTACGGAGCTTTGATTATTCGCCCAAAAGAAGGAGACTCCTATCCGTTTCCCAAGCCAAAGCGCGAAACACCCATTCTTCTTGGTAATGATCCCATTTCTTACAGCAAGAGACACATTGAATGGAAATGAAATCAATTGAACCTGCACTGAATACAACACTAATTATACAAATAGGTGATTTTAGTTCTATAACTACAAGAGAGTTTAAACGATAAACAACAATATGCCAATGATAATGATGATGATGATGATGATGATGATGAAGATGATTGTGATGATCAGGTGAATGGTGGGATGCAAACCCCATGGATGTAATAAGGCAGGCCATGAGAACAGGAGCAGCGCCAAATGTGTCCGATGCATATACTATCAACGGCCAACCAGGCGACTTCTATAACTGTTCCAGCAAAGGTTTGCTTTCGTATACTCATCTCTGTTCTACATTTGCAAACTCGTGAGAAAATTATATCTAGAAAACGACTTCAACATTTTTCAATCAGCCAGGAAAACAAGGTGGCAACACATTTTCTAACATAATTACAGTCTGTTAAACTAAGGACAGTTGAGTTCTAAAAATTCAATAGAATTGTTCCATATCTTGCACACCTAAATATTTCAGGACAATGATTAGTTGATCACCTCCTGATGCAGACACAGTAATAGTTCCAATTGACTCCGGTGAGACCAATCTCCTTCGAGTCATCAACTCTGGGCTAAACCAACAACTTTTCTTCACAGTCGCCAATCACACGCTGACAGTTGTTGGAGCAGATGCTAGCTATGTTAAACCCTTCACCACCTCAGTCCTCATGCTGGGACCAGGCCAAACCACTGATGTCCTAATTTCTGCAAATCAGCCACCAGCTCGATACTACATAGCAGCACGTGCCTATGCCAGTGCCCAAGGTGCACCATTTGACAATACTACCACCACAGCTATCCTTGAGTATAAAACTGCTCCTTGCCCTGCAAAGGGTCTCTCTGTGAATCCTGTTTTGCCATCTCTGCCCGCATTTAACGACACAGCCACTGCCACCGCCTTCACTACCAGCTTCAGAAGCCCCAGCAAAGTCCAAGTACCCACTGAGATTGATGAAAGTCTCTTCATCACCGTTGGTCTGGGGCTCAACAACTGCCCCCCAGGTACCAGGGCACGGAACTGTCAAGGTCCAAATGGAACTCGCTTCACTGCCAGCATGAACAATGTATCTTTTGTGCTCCCCTCCAACTTCTCTTTGCTGCAAGCGCATCATCAAGGTATTCCTGGGGTTTTCACTACTGATTTTCCAGCAGCTCCTCCAGTAAAAGTAGACTACACTGGTAATGTGAGCCGGTCACAATGGCAACCTGTTCCAGGGACTAAGGTATACAAGTTGAAGTATGGGGCAAGGGTGCAGGTAGTGTTACAGGGCACAAGTATCTTCACAGCTGAGAACCACCCAATACATCTCCATGGATATGATTTTTACATCCTTGCAGAGGGTTTTGGCAACTTCAATTCCAAAAAAGATACATCCAAATTCAACCTTGTTGATCCACCTCTTAGGAATACAGCTAGTGTACCTGTTGGCGGATGGGCAGTCATTAGATTTGTTGCTGATAATCCAGGTAAGATAAACATAAAGTCTACAAAGATGCACATTTCTGATACACGTAAACTGTTTCTTTTATATTTATTCCACAATTGGATGATCCAATTCATTTACTTGGCAAAAACAGGAATATGGATTATGCATTGTCATTTGGATGTTCACATTGGCTGGGGATTGGCCATGGCTTTCCTCGTGGAGAATGGAGTTGGGGAATTGGAAGCATTACAGGCTCCTCCAGCAGATCTGCCTCAGTGTTGATATTCTCAGCGAAAGTACTCCCTGAGATTAAAATTCAAAATACCCAATGGCATGCACCACTATTTTTCCAAAGAAACAACTTCAGTTTTTGTTTTCCCCCCACATTGGGGCATAGTTCCTTGTTCTTTTCTATTCCTTTTTTGTCATAGATAAAAGGGTCAAGAAGGCATGGTACCACGTTTGGAACTCAAAGTACCATCCAATAGAATCAGACCCAATGTGTTTTTTGTTTATAGCTGTATGGTGTTATGAATTTTTGGGGTTTTGAATAATAATATTTCTCATAAGAGCAGTGTTGATGTGAAGGTATGTGGTAAAAAACAATTAAAAAGGTCAAAAAAAAAAAAGTAAGCCTGAGCAGCAAACAAAAACACTCCCCTGAGAAGAAACAAAAGCATTCACAGGACACGAGCAGAACTGTTCCATATTTGCACTCACCATGTGTAATGTAAACCAATTGTTTAACCACAAGAACTTCCTGAGTTAAACATTTGGTTTACACTACATCTAATACACTAAGAAAAAATTTCATTGTTCTTAATTTTTCAAAACTTTCAAACAAAGGAAAAGAACTGAGTGGACAAAAGAAACAGGAGAAAGGAGATAAGATAAACACGGAAAAGGGAAACTTGGCTGCAGCATGAAAAACAATTCGAACAAAATAGTGCACCAGTTTGAGGTACAACAACAAAATATTAAGTCTCTATCATGATACATGTAGATATTATGTCATATAACATATACAAGTATTGCTTGCTGACAAAGTTTTGCTCTTTCATGTTTGAAGAAATGTGCAGTTCTGATGAATAAATGCACATGAAATACTATCACATTTGTAAGCTTTAATTGATGGCACATGGAAAAGTGCAGGAAAATGTCTTTTAACATATTTTACCAAATTTTAGCTCCCTGTCTCAAATGAAATTGAACTGTGGGAAGTTAAAACAGTGGTTGTAGAGGGGAAGCAAGGTACAAGATAATGGAAAGTTCATTAAAAGTCAATAGAAGAATCTATCATTCTCTAAAGATGTGAGACTCATTTTCAGGAACTGATTGTTTTACTGCAATTGCCAAAGCAATTTCTTATAGGATGGTACCAATTGGATAAGGTTGTTTGAGGAAGAGGATAGTAAAATTGCTAAAAGGTGATTTGTGGAAATTACAAAGAAATAGATACTTTAGTTCTTATTTTTGCTAAAGAATTAGCCATGTTGTACATTTGACACATTTTCAATAGTCTAAAATGTATCCCTCCATGGACTCCCCAAAAAAATAATGGCATCAAGATTACTATGACACGCATAATTTTATATTTTCACATCATCATTTATTGTTTCAAATAAATCTAACACAACACAATCAATTAGGGTTGTCAACTCATGACGATTGACAGAAGTTATACATTATTAATTTAGCCCTCAAATATTTTCTTATACTTTTTAACTGAAAAATTAAATTTGACTAAACAATGATACTAAACTTGGTTAAATCTAATCCCAGCCAAAATCCCTAAGAAAACTACTAAAGAACCTCTAACCCAACTTCAAACAAGCCCATGCTTCAATAGGAATTCCAAATGTCTATAATATAAAACAGCAACCATCTCAAATAGACTCATCCAACGACCACCAACATATCTCCCAAAACCATTCACATTACACCGTGCATTCAGCCACGGTTACCCCTAGTTTCTCATATATGTTAAATCTCCACCATTTTCCCACCACCAATATTACAATAGCATCACCTCCACCGTCAGGACTGTCTGTTTTCAAATCTTTTCCTTTCTATCTCTATCTAATTCTCTCTCTAGCCAAAAAATTAATCAAGCCCAAGACCAAGTTCCACAACTAACTTGACCCAGTAATGTTTTCACACCAATTACACAAAACATTGAAAAGAAAACATGAGCAGCGAGAGAAAGGATATGAACCTTAATTACATATTCCAAACATGAAGAGAACTTACTGCCAAATGGGTTAAAGGGAGAATCTAATGGATAAAGCCTTCAACTAAACCTAAGAAACTGTACATTCCATTGTTAAAATATTTGAAGAGAGAGTGCAAAGAGTAGCATAAACATACCTTGCACTGAGCACAATGGTGAGATAAGTGGATAGAGTGGCCTCTTGACGGGTCTTCTTCGCGGGAATTACAGGTTAGTTTCGGCTTTAGGGTTTGAATTGATAGTTGAGAGGAAAGCTGAGCATGGGTCGAACGACCCGTCAGACCCGAAACCATTCTCTTTTATGCGAAAGGCTAGGAGATAGGATTTTGGCCCGCTAGAAAATTTGTCTATAAAAAATTAAATATTAATTATATAATATTCATATTTTAAATAATAATTTTTTTTCTTTAGTTACACAATTTAAATTAAAATGAACAGAGAAAAATTAAGAAAGATATATGTGTAAATTAATAGGATTGTCAAACATTAGAGCGTGTGTTGATTGAGTTGTTTGACATTAGAAATGGTATAGATATGATGATGTTTTTTAGTAGGGAACAAATTTTTTGGGATAAATTTTGAACTATTAGATCAAAGTAGACGAAAATTATATCAATTTTAATTATTGTTATATATTTATAAGTTAATGATTTAACTTCATTAAAGAGTGTGTTGGTTGAATTGTTTAACATTGAGGACATGCAGAGATTATGATATTTGTGAGTAGAAAAAAAATTGGGATGAATTTTGAATTATTAAATTAAAATAGATGAAAATTAGATCGATCTTAATAGTTTTTATTTATTTATAAGTTGATGATTTAACTCCCTAGCTACAATGTTAAATAAAAAATGAAGACATGACTGAGCATAGAGTAAAGTAAATATTAGAAGTTCTTTTTATGTCAATAGGTATAGATGTAAGTTTTTTATGGCCTTAAGAACATACTTTTGTTTATTTTTAATTTGTATTCTCTTTGATTGGGTTATTGTGATTTCGAAATTCAATTTATTTTTCTTTGAGTTCGTTGAGTGTTATGAGTATTGATCATGTTTTGTGTGGATTCGGGACTAGATTGTGATAGTAAATAGTCCAACACATGGTTAGTCTAAGAAATTAGTGGAATTAGACTAAGGCGGGGGTGATTAGGGAGGTTTAACGTTTATATTTATGTGATCTTTGAGTTATTTGATATTCGATTATTTGTATTTTTATGGTTGAACATATTATTTTTTATTGTATTATATGTTTTCCCGATTAATTTTTTTGTCAGGAGGATTTTGAAGAAATAATGAAAATTGAGATGTTTGGGAAAATTAGATTTGGACAAATTTTAATAAGATTTTTGCAATATAAAATTTATTTGTTTGCAAAGTTTAAATTGACAATTATAATTTTATTTAAGTAATTAGAACTCTGACCTCCACATTTAAAATTATATTTATGAAACATTTCAATTAATTTATCAATTAATATAATCCAAAAAAATCAGGATGTTATAAGAATTGTGAGGTCGGAATGGAGTTAAATGATGATACCATTAAATCCTAATTAATAATTCTTATCATTTTATTATTTTGAGTTTTTTAAAGGTCGGTATCTAGGCTCAGGAGAATTCTAAAATATAATTCACTGGTTAATTTGTTTTTTGATTAGGTCCTTATTAAAAAATCAAAATAATTGATATAATTAATGCCATTTAAAATTATCAAAATAATGATAATGTTTATCACGTAATTGTAATAACTATTTTAAAAAATTATGTTTTCATAATGTATTTCTTTCTCCATAAACATAGATTATCAAACAAATACATTAAAAAAAATGATTTGTTATCGATTAACATGCCTATTAATTGATGGTTCGTTGGTACAGTAAGATACATTTAATAATAATATCTGAATTTAGTGTACATTTGGAATAGATACATTAACATGAGACGTCTTTTAAGTAAATTTCACAATTAACACCATAATGAACATATATTTAAATATTTTTATCTACCCAATAGAAATCCCTCAAAATTACAGGTACATAAATACATAAAACAAAATACAAATTAAAATTACGTAAATCATAACGAACTTATACATAAACCTACCAATGAATGTGTAAAACTTAAATGCTACGATCTAAATTGCTTGGTTCACAATTTTAAAATTCAAAATTGATAAACAACATTACAAATCCTCAATATCAAACTCCAAAAAAAAAAAAAAGAAGAGAAACTAATTATATTTTAGGCTAAAATTATGTGATGAGATAATGAAAACACAGTAATTGCCCTGACCTCCTATACATTCGTGCTCACACAGGGACCACATACAATTTTTTTTAAAGCACGTCAGACTTTTTTATATATTAAAAATTTGATAAAATTAAAATTAATTTATGCACCAAAAAAAACCTAACCTAATTATCTATATTATTTTTTATCGAGCTCATGGAGGGGATCCAAAAATTTTAATTTAATTATTTAATTTAATTTCTTAGTTTCATGATAATAATAATAAAAAAATGGTACTAGGGACTTATCTCCTATTTTATTTCAACTTGTCCTCTCAATTTGATGTTCTCAATTTAAATCTCATATTGGCGCATCTCTCCCGTCACCTGCTCCATATGCAGTCGTCATGAACCGAACTCAGCATACACCCCACCTTCAATCAACCGTCCGATTCACGAACCTTGTGGCACTGACCCACCCCTGTACTAAATCTGGACTGTTCATTTTTTTTATCTCCCCAAAACTACCCTTCCGTACACCCCCCATTTTTTTGTAGCTATCTTTTTCGCGTGATTCCCAACGACATTTGATCACCTTTCGTCCCCATGAAGAGAAGCCATCGATTACAGAACCGCAGAATTACAGTCAATTTACTAGATCTCTCTCTCTCACACACACACTCTAACTTCACTCACTTTTCTCTCCTGACGGTTCAGTTCACTTCACCTAGTTTGAGTCTGACCTCTACATTTCTAGCAAAAAACCTCAACTTCCGATTCTGTAGTGTCAATATCGGTGGAATTTGACGTCAAAATTTGAATTTTGTCGGAATCTGACTGATTTGAGCTCCTTTTTCAGGTTATCTACTTAACATTTTATTGGGATTTCCTTGATCACTACGTGGTTTTACACTTTTACTGGTTTATATCATTTGGATTTTCCTGAGAAGTCTTTGATGCTCAGTAAGTTAAAGATTGCATGTGTTTTCGTTGATCACTACGTGGTTTATATTATTTCCACTTGCCTGAGAAGTCTCTGATTCTAAAACTAGTTAACGTTTGCATGTGTATCGATGTTGCTGTCT